ATGAAACTTGCCAGTTTTTTCACTTTTAACAGAGAAAATGAAAATTTATCCTCTTACTCTTACCTCTTTTCCTCCCTTTTTTATAAAGACTCCTTCTCTTCTTTCTTTTTGTTTGCCTTTGTTTTTTTTCTTAGAGCATTTTCTACCTTCCAAACCAAAATACCAAATTTACTTTGCCAAACTGAGTAAAGGAGGTAGTGTGGCTGATCACACTTAGAAGGCATTGTGTGAGTTCTTTCCTTAGGGAGATCCACCTGGATCTAGCCACAGCTCCTGTCATTTTCCTCTTATGCCCATGAATTTTCCAGCTGCTGGTCAGGGGAAGGAGGGCAGGTTTGGTAGCCATGAGGCAGTGAGAAGGTGGTTGGCTTCTCCTCAAGATCTCGGCTTCAATAATGCCACATTGCCGCCAATTGAGCTAACTAGGTACACTTGTTAGAAGAAAGCTTGTGCCTTTGTGGAGAATTATGCCAAAATTTCTGCTTCAACCCCTGGCAACAGATTCTTTTGGTCGTCTTTAGTGAAAGGCCATTTGGGAAATGGACTGTACATGCAGCAAATAGGATTTCAGTTAAATGGTAACATTTGTTTCCAAAAGAGTACCAGAGGGGAAGCTAAGCTCTTCAGAGCATGTGTTCATTAAAGATTTGAAGTGGGGTGGGAAGCAATAAAAAAAAAAAGGCCAGTGAGTTCTCTTGTGAGATAGTTTTTTGTTCCTATGAATTGAACACCCTCTGAAAAGTTTCAAAAAGAGACTGGAAAGAATGTATTTGCTTTGATCCAATATGTGGAGGGTTCCCTACTACAAATACCCCTTAATTTAGAAGTATTATTCAAAAGTCTGTTTGAAAGTACATAAAAATATAATATGTAAATAAGCTCTAATTAGTTATTTCAATTAATTATCTTTTGTCTCTGCTTTGCGGTTCTGTTTTTCTCCCCATAATGTCGCTTGTCAGAGTCCAGCTTTGGCACCCTTCAAAAATGTTTTTGTCATAGTCGTTATTACAAAAACACATTTTTTGCCCTGTTGAAAACATCACAGTGATAAAGTAAAATCCAGATCATATAGCTTTAGGGGAATTGTTTAGACATTTTTAGTCTCTGATTTGCTAGTATGATATTAAAGAAGGAATCTTAAAATTAATTGAAAAAATAGGTGTTTCCTTCTTCAAATAAATGGTAAGTGGTGTTTTTTAGAAAATGAATCTGCATTAGGCCACTAGCCTCTAATCTTCTTTGACCATCCTGTGTTCTTTCAATAACAAATACTATGTTGAATTTGGAGATTAAAAGTTTTAATTCTAAACCAAGTAAGATGCTTCTCAGTGGAGACTGTGAATGCTGTGGGAAAACACTGGTAAAATGAACTCAGGTTGTTTCTACATAGCAGATTTTTAGAAATTGACTGGGAACCTAAAATGTTGATTTTGGAAGCTGAGAGAGTATACTACATGACCATTTACAAGGTTTTCATTTGAGGGGCTGCACACCCTCTGCGCTTGAATAGAATTAGAATTTTAGAGCCTGGAGGGGCCTTAGCAGCCACCTGGAAACCAGGGAGCCATCCTCAGCTTTTCCCCCACCAGTGTCTCTGGTGGTAGTTGGCTGGTTGGGGAGAAATACAGGTTCCTGGGCCCTAATCCAGAGCTACAGAATCAAAGTCTTATGGGTGGGAGTTGGGGTGGGGGAGGGGTCTACATTTTTCACAGGCTTCTTTTTTTAAGATTTATTTATTTATTTGACAGAGATCACAAGCAGGCAGAGAAGCAGGTAGAGAGAGAGAGAGAGGGAAACAGGCTCCCTACTGAGCAGAGAGCCTGATGTGGGGCTCAATCCCAGGACCCTGACATCATGACCTGAGCTGAAGGCAGAGGCTTTAACCCACTGAGCCACCCAGGCACCCCTTCACAGGCTTCTTCAGAAAATTCTGACACTCACTGAATTTGGCAAGCCACTGATTTAGGATGGCCCCTTCCTTTGCAGTGTGGAAAGCAGACTTAGAGAGTTTGATGGGTCAAATTCATAGTCTGTCCTAGGCAAGAATGGGCTTTCTAACTTGGACTTGTGCTTGTCTGTACACCATGTATCCAAAACAGTCCTAAGCATGCAAATAGGTTCAGACCTACTTCTGGATCATTAGGGGTGATTTCAGCTTGGCAAGTAGGAGAGCATCGTTCTAAATAAGGTATGAAGGTAAAGACACCCAAGAACTGTTGCTTCTGTCTAACCTAAAGCCTGAGCGAGCGCTAGCCACACTCTGTCAGCCCTTCTCTCTTTGATGAGCCTGGAGACCAGTGCACGAGGTGGTAAGAATGCTTAGCTAATTTAGTTAGCCCGTGTAGTTGAACCCCCAGTGTGTTAGGCTTTGGACCTGCGTGCCTGGTTGAGATACACATTTTTAGAACATATACTTTCTTAAAAATGCGTATTTGTGTATTTTAATATTGCTTATGTATGTTACATCTAAAAATTATAATAAAGTCATTAAAAACTATAGACTGATATACACAATAGTACCCACTAAAGCATATATAAATATCCAGCAAATGCTTGCTAATGTTAATTACATCTAAAATTCAAACAACCAGAAAGCTAAAGTGACCCAAATTTATTTTTGTTATATTCTGTGGTGAGTTTAAACTATAGTGATGACCTGGAATTCCTGCAGGACCATGATTACTTTCTAAATCCTTAGAAAAGACCGAGTTTTATTCATCGTCATTTCAGTGTTCAATTTGACCATCAGCGAATTTTTGGAAACAACAATATCCCAGTGTCTAGGATGCGTCAAGTTCCACTGAATTCTGCTCCACAGTCCATATATGATCACATGAGCAATATGTAATTCTTAGAATGGGCAACATATTTTTCACGGGGTTATTAACAAAAGAATGCTGTTTTAAGAGGCAGGTGACTTGGTTAGGGGAATTGGTTCTGAAAGAGCTTTGAGAAATTACAATCTCTTTATATCCAGGTGTATGTGTGTCCAAGTAATATTCAATTTACCATCCTTTCTGCATAAACAGCTATTGATGATCTGCTGTATGTAAAGCTCTGTGTTAAGTACTGAGGATAAGAAATTGCTTTGAGGAGTTTCTAGTGTGGTTCTTGTTGGACAAGCACATAAAAAGGCACAGTAGTTTCCGGAAGCGTGTGCTAAATGCCAGATGTGCAGTACTACAGTCAGTGAGTGCAGCAAACACATTCCAGAGCTCACAGCCCGCTCATTGTGACCGACCACACCTCCCCTCAGCGACAGCAGCGGCGTGTGTGTTTGCTGCTGCTCTGTTTGTCGCACACATCTCATTGCTCAGCCCGTCCGAAAAACAGGGGCGTTCTGATTTTGCTGCTACTCAACAGTAAAGAAACAGCCATTCCAGGAAGGAGCAGTTTGCAGCTTTTGAAGCGTAATACCGATGCCCTTATGTACTGTCTTTTAGTACCTCTTGTCTTTAAAGCAATAGGATCTAATTCTCTTCCTGGAGAATGCACAGCTAGACTGCTTGATTACTGATACCATTTTATTTGTGATGAAAACTAAAGTCCTTTGAGTTTTTGTGATATTTTCATTCATGGAGTTCATGTGAATTAGTTTTTTCTTAGGTTAGCAGTTTGTTAAATAGACTGTTCAGAGCTCCTTTAATGGACATGAGGTTCCACAGTGATGGATATGGTGATGATGAGGAGGAGGGGGGTGATGATGTTATCATTAAATAGGCTTAATGTGAGATTTCTTTGGTCAGTGCAGTTCTTAATCCAGCCATGATCCAGAAATAGATTTCTGAAATGAAAGCGGTTGATCAGAAATGCCAGGATAATGTTGCTCTTTGTATAATCATGATTACCTGTTCTGGGCTGCCCTGATTTAGTTCCTTGGGTTCTGATGGGATTTCTGTACTCACCAAGAGAATGTAGTGCCTCCTACCTGAAGAAAAAGCATGGCTTCTTTGTGACAGGGCCTAGGTTATTACCAGTCCCCCCGAGAGTCCCAGGACAATGCTCGCAGAATCATGGATTTCCTCGGGCCTTAGCAATGACTTGCCAGCAGCCACTGGTCTTGAGTAATGGGCAGGATTTGGCAAAGTGGAAATCAGAGAAGAGGGTTTTGTGTAAGGAGACGTAATATGCACCAACGTGTGGAGGGTCGAGTGAGCACACTGTTTATTTGGGGAATAGCAAGGAGAGTTCTCTGATTGCAATAAAGAAGTTCTATTTCCATTGGAGAGTAGTAGGAGTAGAGAGTTGGAAAGGTGATATAGGGCCAGTCGGGGGATTCATTGACTAGGTAAGTAAAGGAAGACTGCGTACCAGTTTTTAGAATCATTTTAAACTCAGACAAGCTTAGAGCCGAATCAAGACTCCACCTCTTCCAGGTTCGGTGACCTCAGATTGGCTAAAACCATCTCACAGATGTGTTGTACACGTTAAATAAGATCCTTTATGAGAAGTCCCCAGCAAAATGTCTGGTGGTGGAAAGAGAGCTTATGAGGAAAAGTGAAGTGCTAGTAGTGGGGTTGTAGAGAGGCTGATCTCTGAGTACTGTGTGCAGAAGACACAGAAGAGACCAGAAACTGGACCATATTAGATTCCAGTTATGACAGCCCCGTAGAAGGTAAGAGGTTGAGGATATAGGGCTAGGAAGAGAAGGACACATCTATACATGTATTCTCTGAAGTTTTTTCTTTTTCTTTCCTTTTGCGGACTTTTGTTTGAGGGTTGTGTAACCTGTTCTGTGGTGTTAAAAGTACAACACTACAGGTGCCTGGGTGGCTCATTCGTTAAGCGTCTGCCTTCTTGTGCTCAGGTCATGATCCCAGGGTCCTGGGATCGAGTCCCGCGTTGGGCTCTCTGCTCGGTGGGGAGCCTGCTTCTCCCTCTCCCCCTGCCCCTGCTTGTTGTCTCTCTCTCTCGCTGCGCCTCTGTCAAATAAATAAATACAATCTTAAAAAAAAAAAAAGTACAACACTAATCAGAGACTCATTCTTCTGCTTGGACAGGATGCCAGCGATCCATAGGTCTCTCCAATGGGAAGGCCAAGGTGTGCAATTACAGTGGATGGTATTACTGCAGCAGCTGCCATGTGGACGACAGTTTCCTCATCCCGGCACGCATAGTCCACAACTGGGATACTTCAAAATACAAGGTAAGCACAGTCTGAGTTCACCTCATAATCGCAGGGTGGATGTTCAGCTGTTGTCATGTGGATTAAGAAATAATGGTGTAAGAATTTAAGCAGCCTTGACTAGGTAGTCTCATAAAAGCTACGAGACCTTAACTGATGCTTCTTAAATATCTCACATTTAAAGGCGTCTTAACTACGACTTTTTATTAATTTCCTCACTTAAAAAGATAATATAGCAGTTTCTACTTCTGGGCCTTGATAATTAACTGTGGGTGCTAAAAAGGAATTCTGATAGATAGAGAGGCCTCATTGTTTTTTTTATTAGCTCTTACCTCCAAAATCACAATATTCTCAGAGGATAAAAATAGGAAAATAGGGGTGCCTGGATGGCCCAGTGGGTTAAGCCTCTGCCTTCGGCTCGGGTCATGATCTTGGGATCCTGAGATCAAGCCCCTCATTGGGCTCTCTGCTCAGCAGAGAGTCTGCTTCTCCCTCTCTCTGCCTGCCTCTTTGCCTACTTGTGATCTCTCTGTCTGTGAAATAAAATCTTTAAAAAAAAAAATAGGAAAATAATGCATGCACAGGCATACTAGTGACTTTTGAAGGAGAGGATTTATGTAATCAAGGTATTTCTTATTTTGAGTAGGACTACTCCTACTCATATGAAGGTCAGTCTTCCAGCAGGTCCATCTCTCCTGGAACTAGAAGCTGACGAGAAGCTAAGGGGATTTCTGGGTGCGTGGTCACACCAAGAAGCAGTTCACTGAGCCACCCTTAGACCTTCAGCTGGACTGTTCTTTATTTTTTAAAAAGGGAGGAAGAGAGAAGCACGCTTTGCAGAGTAACTGCTAACAACCTAGCAGGGTATCCCAAAAGTACAAATAGCAGACTTGGTAACTATAAAAATGCAAGTCAACCGAGGAGAAGAGGAAGTCTGAGCACTGGGGCATTCGCCTTAAGAGGGTAGAGAGGGGAGGAGCAACCAGCAGAGGAGGAGTGCATAGTGAGGGAGAGGACCCTAGTGTGTTCAACAAGCCACACAAAGAATGTGTCTTCAGATCAGTTTTGACATAAGCTGATACGTAGGTCAGATAACATGAGCACTGAGAATTGATCATGGGCTATAGGAATGTGGAGGTAATGAGTGACCTTAATGAGAGCAATTTGAATTGAGCAGTGGGAGAGAAGGTCTGATTGGAGTGAGTTTGACATGGAACAGGAGAGAAATAAGTGACAAGAACAGAGAACTCTTGAGAAGTTTTGCTGTAAGGGCATGGAGAGAGAGATGGGGAGTAACCAGAGGGGAAGTTTGATTTTTGTTTTAATGGAAGAAATAACAGCATGTTTTCTATGTTGATGTGAACTACCTAGGAGAGAAAGAATTGCTAGAATGATATGGTTGAGTGAGAAAGAATCATGTAGGTGGGGGGTTGGCCTTTGCTTGGAGCAGGAAGTAAGAGAAAAGGCAGAGTCTGGGTATAGGTGCCAGTGGGTAGCTTAGGGAAGTTCCCTTCCATTTATATCAGTAGCTGTCATCATATTGATTTATTTCAGCACCTGTGATTCTTTTTTTTCTTTTCTTTTTTTTTTTTTTTTGACAGAGAGAGACAGAACACAAGCAGGGGGAGTGGGAGAGGGAGAAGCAGGCTTCCCACAGAGCAGGGAGCCCGAGGTGGGGCTTGATCCCAGGAGCCTGGGATCATGACCTGAGTCAAAGGCAGACACTTAATGACTGAGCCACCCAGGCACCCCAGCACCTGTGATTCTAAAATGAGATTAAAGACCCAGCCCTGGTCACTCGGGAAGTGCCTTTACCTTCTATTTCATAGAGATATAGGAGTGATTAGGCAATAATTCTGCCAGCCCTTTTATAAACTTGTCTACGTCTACATCCGTCCTCCTTGTCCTCCTTCCACCCAGAGAAGAAACATCACTCCTCCTATAGAAGGTTCTTCTGCCTCTGCTCATTAGCTCTTCCATCGGTTTTGCCAAATCTGATTGACCCTTTTCAGTTTCTTATTCTACTGGACTTCTCTGGAATACAGTGTTGGACCAGGAATTCTTCTGCCTTGACTTGGAAGGCACACTCCTGGTTCTCCGAATTCTCTTTTTCCTCAGTCACTTCTGGTTCTTCGTCCTCTGCCTACACCTTTAATGTTGCAGTTCCTTCGCTTCGTTTTTTTAGTTTTCTCTTCCCACTTCATTGCATTCTCTCTTTCTTTTCATTAGTTTCAACTCCCTGATGATTCCTACCCTTATCTCCAGCTCCATTTTTGCTACTAAAAGGGAGATCTGTGGATTTAACTGCCAAATGGCATCTTAGCTCTGGTTTCAACCTAATAGTCTTCAAGATATGGGGATTGTCCTGCAGTAGGATTTGGCAAGTTGGGGAATCTAATCCGCTGAAGTACTCTAGGCTTAGAGTACTTAGGATTCATTTATGGTCCTGTTCTGCCAGAACAGAGAATTCTGGTACCTGAGTGACTAGAAGCTTCTCTGATCCTTCTGCCACAATGCTGTCACATCTGCCTTGAATGAACCTTCCACACAAAGTGTTTTGTCCAAACATAGTCTGTAAGACTGCTTTTGTACCTCTTTGCTAATAGGTGTCTGAGAGTTGGTGTCAATGTAACTGTATCACCTGGGAACAAGGTAGTTGGGCAAGGGACCCCAAACTGTCACCTACCTGTAATATTTGAAGTCTAAAACAAACACGAAAGTTGTGAGGGGCCATTTGGCTGGTACCTTTCTGTATCCCTGGGTAGGTCTGTCTCCTGGTCAATCCAATAACCATTCACATCTTGACTGTCTTCACGGTGCCTCATGCCCATCCTTCTCAGCATATGACCTTGCCACCACTTCAAGGACAACTCTGAAACTGTAAGATATGGATATGAATTCCTACAAATGTATCTATATTTGTACCTGGGCCTACTGCTTCCCCTCCTATCATAGGAAGAAGAGCCCTTTCTTTTGTTTAGAGATCATCCTTCCACATGTACTATAGATACCTTTCTCCATCTGGGAGCCCCCCTTCATTCTTTGAGAGCTGATAAAAGCATGTCCTCATTGGCAACACCTTTTCTGGTATTCCCCACCCTACCCTATTTGCTGCACTGCTGGCTCTCTCCCTCGTGCCGCCACCGTGCCGTGTGTGCACACGCGTGTGTGCGTGTGTCTATAATTAGACTTACTTAAGGGGTAAGTAGTAGGAGCTTGGAGTTAAACAGGCATTTATCCACGTCCTACCTCCACCCCTTATTTGGGGCTTGATTTGCTGAAACAAATCACTTGAACTTTCCTGAACCTGTTTACTAATTTGTAAAATGAACCCAGACTGCCTGAGTTCGGGCCTTGTCTTGGTCATTTAATAGCTGTCTAACCAGGGCAAGTTATGTAGTGTCTCTGTGTTTGAGTATCCTCATCTGTAAAATGAGGACAGTAACACTTCATAGGACCTCTGGCGGTTACATGGGTTCATGCATGTGAAGTAAACAGAATAGTGCCTAAGACATAGTTATGCTGCTCCTGTGAGCTCCCTGGGCACAGGGAACATGTCTTAGCACAGTTTCTGGTGCATAGTAGGTAACAAGAATATATACTGAATCAGTGAAGGAATGAGGCCTGTCTTATGGGCCCCTCCAATTTGGTACCCCCAAATTGGCTTTATCACCCCCATCACTTGTGCCTCTGGAATGTCCGTGGCACCACCAGTCCCCACTGCCAGCGCCGAGAGACAGCCTGGGCTCTTTCCTCTGCCACCCCCACCCCATCTAATCAGTTAGCAAAACCCAACCACGGGATTTGCACGCCGTTGCCCCTGCCGTCCCACCTCACAAACTCAAACCTTGGGCGTCACTCCCATGACAGAGTTTGGTAGCCTCCTAACTGTGCTTCCTGCCTGCGAGTCTTGCCCAGGCAATGGTTCAGAAAACCCTAATCTCACTGTGGGTAAATTTTGTGCCCTCAGTCTCAGTTTCTTCACCCTTAGAATGGAGGTGGTGATGATAATAATAGCAACTGCTCCGTCAGATGGCTGTTGCCCTAGAAGGACGATTCACAGAAAGCCCCTAGCACCATGACTGGCACATGGGTGCTTGGTTAATGCCAGCTTTTATTATGAATATATAGAAGATAAACACAAATCTCTTGACCTGACACTAGGATCTTTTGTGATCTCTGGTCCCTGCTCTTCTAGTCCCTTCATGCCCCCTGCCATGAGCATCCTCAGTAAGGTCACAGTCCCTCCTGTTCCTCAGTCCTTCCGTGCTGTTTCACACCTCTCATCTTCCCCTTGCCCTCACTCAGCAAGGCAGACCCTAAGCGAGCCTGTCTTAAAACTCACTTCCTCTGCCAGTTCTTTCCTTCCCCTCTCCCAGACAGTTATCAGTTTCTCCTCTGCATCTTGTACATGACACTCTGAATATAGGCTATAAATATATTTGCCATGTGTGTATTAGATAAAAGTGTATTTAGAGTTGAGTTTGGTTTGGATTATTTAGATTAATCTGCTTAGAGCAGGGCTTTGACAGCTAAGAGAGGTGTACAGAGAGCAAGTGAGGGGGGCAGTCCCGGCCCCGCGCTCACCCAGAGCTCAGGCTGGTGGCACCTGCCAGCAGAATATGCAGCACTCTGGGGAGTTATAACAGAAGAGGTGGCACCAGAGAAGGAAAGTCTGAGAACTGGGCGTGGCTTACAAAGATGGACTTGGAGGAGATCCAGATCTGTCTGCAGTGAGCCACTGAAACCACCAATTTAACCATCACTGATGCTTGCAGTCTTTTTCTCTAGAGCAGACATTTTGCCGTGCTGATCGTTCAAATGACAAGGTTTGATGCTGAGAGGGTAAGTAACTAATTGAACGTGTTAGGTACCCTCGCTTCATCCACGTTGTACATGAGGAGAATCTCCTTTGTCAGACCTTCCTTCCCAGATTGTCAGTGGACCAGGGAAGATTTTAAAGCAAGAACAGAGCTGGTCAATTTTATCGGATCATCTCTTGCTGGCTTTAAGTAACTATA